GGTTGGTGTAACCAAATTTATGACAAAGATAATTTTGTACTGACAGAAGACCAATGTGTCAAGTGTCCCAACAGAACTCAACAACAGAATATCATTTCAAAATTATAACCAGAAGAATGGATACAGACTGGTCTATATGAGGACAATAGATAAGGCTCCAATGAATTTTGATATTCCGGCTAGTCAGGCAGTGAATAAAGTTGGAGACAAAACAATGTTAGTCAAGATAAGAATTCAAGAAAAAAAAAAAACAGATGCACTATTGTGCTGCTGTGTATGACTGATGGTATTAACTTGAACTCCATGATAATTTTCAAGAAAAAATTAAACCAAAACATCAATTCCCAAAAAGTAGTAGACATTCATATTCATCAAAGGACGGATGGATGGAGATGGCCTAAAAACATGACTGAAGGAAGTTAGAACTGCTGACCAGGAAGATAATGCAAGTAAAAAAGCCTTTTCACTTGGGATAAGTTTAAGGCACACGATGACGATGACGATGACGATGACGATGACGACGACGACGACGACGACGACGACGATGACGATGACGATGACGATGATGATGATGATGATGATGATGATGATGATGATGATGATGATGATGATGATAGTTAAGCTGCAAAAATACTGATGTTACTGCAATTCCTGGTGGTCTACAAAGCCTTGAAAAAACCCACTGGATGTCTGTAAACAAACATTTCAAGGATGAAAGAGATGTGAATCAATTGGATGATGGAAGGAGAGCAGACATTAACCAAAGAAGACAGTACGAGAGCTCTGACATTAGAGATATTGTACAAAAAGAGATGAACAACAATATTTGCTTATATTATCCTTTGTAACCCATTTATATATATATTGGTTGGTCTTAAGTATGGGAACAACTAGCCAATCTGGCAACCCTGCAGTTATCAGCTGGATCCAAATGGGATAGTGCTCTTAATGAAAAATACAAATGATCTCTGCATGCTAGCTCTGATATCTCTCCTGCTTTGAACAGAATCAACAACACTAAACAGTACTCTAAACAAGAGAGGAGTATAAGTGATCTAAATAGTCACCACTGGCATTATTTCCCTTGTTTTCAAAGTCATCGGTATCCACCCTTTTATTTTCCTATTTTTCATGACATCTGCCTTACTGTGTTTTTAAAAGACAGGTCAACTGACATTATTATACCCAGGTACTTTACACGTTCCTTTCATTTTATTGTGTGACCCTCTGGCTTTCAGTATAATGCCCTTTTGAGTTTATTCTTTCCATATCTAAGCAGTTAGAACTTGTCACCACTGACTATTACATTCTTCTTTAATACACATACTGTGCATCTATTCTATTTATTAACATGTATTCATTAATTAAACAATGTTTATTATTTTTAATTGAGAATAAACAGTACTGAATGTAAAATATTGAAATTATTATTAGAAAAATGAAATTAGACAGAATATTATGGCACAGAATGACCTCTGATTATGACATAGGTTTCTATGGTAAGCTAGGTTCAGAATCCCAAATTATTGACTTTCTAACAGTTTTAACGAATACGTGAAGGTCATAAGTGGGGAATCTAATGCACTGTGATGAATACTATCAAGTTAGCATTGCATAATGTGAATGTGATTTGCATATAGGTTAATCCAATATGTATCTGAATATGCTTTACTTATTCCAAATATAATGTTTTCTCTTGCCAAATGTAGCCCAACACTGAAATACCTAAGGAATCTTCTTCTTTCAACAAACTGGCTGTATGCCACCAAGACATAGTAACAAAATGACAAGAGGGCAGTCCTTGAAAGTAAACAATATTTGACACTACTGTCCAACAGTCCTGAGATTACTACCAATCTTACCACAGGGTCACAAGGTACCCACCCAGAAATTGCTGTTATCTGTAAAGGTTAGTGAAGGCATAACTGTGACCTAATCATATTTTCATAGAAAACTTGAAGCCCGAGCAGCAGGTAGTGGATACCTCTAGGGTTTGTGCTTTCCATGTCACTGTCAATGTAGTAAGAAAATCATGGTGAGCAAATGTAAACTATTCTAAGAAATAACAGGATTCAAATCTACACTCCGGCAGTCCTGAAATTACCAAGTAACCAAGCTAGGGAAGGTTAGAAAAATTCTCCAACTTATCCACCACTATACAGCCTTTCCTCACTTAACAACGGAGTTCTGTTCCTAAGACCATGTCAGTAAACGAATTTGCTGCTCAGTGAGGAGCATATTATAATGGTAGTGGGTTTGTGTCAACCATCTTTGATATTGTTTTAATGTCACCTTTGCACCACTTATAATATTTCTGATATATTTTTAAATGTTTACACAGTAGTTTACTCTATATTGCAATAAACAGAATAAAGGAAATCAGCTCTAATATACATTATTTAGGTATGAATACTGGTCAGAGAGCCCATTGTAAGTTTGAGTCGTCGATAATTGAGTACGTCGCTAAGTGAGAAGAGGCTGTACTTCCAAATCAACAAAATTGTAATTGCTATACTAAAATTTATTTACTATAGATTTGTGGAGAAGTTGCAGTCAGTGGATAATTTGAATCATCATGTCAGCACACTTCTGGCAAGACTGACTGAAAGAACAATGGTGAATATGTTTTTTTTCAGTCACCCTGCTTTGGCTGTAGGTAGCTGGTGGAGTGAAAAATAAAGAAAAATTATTTATTGATTTTTTCAAAGCAACTTTACAATGTCAAATGTCTCAATAGCAAAGTCACACCAAAATAAAAATAAAACTATCATATACAACTTGTGTTATAAAATTCTAATTTTTGTTATGTAGTAATTAAAACTATTGTATTTTACAAGCATAAAATGTAGTTGGAATGGTGCCTAGATCCATACTATAAGTCAAATAAGTTAATACAATAAAAATTTTCACATTATATAATCTTAAATGGCAAAATATTTATAAAATATAAGACTCTACTTTTTTGACAGTGTTAAAACAGCAATATTTGTCACTGCTACAATACTCATCATAAGCAATCCTGAGATACAATAGGTTATCGATACATTATAAAGTATTAATACTAGAAATGTAAATAAACATTGTAAAAATAATTTCATTTTCACTGAGTTATCTTGCTTATATAATGATTGATGGTCAAATAATGATTACTACTAGAGGATTCTTAATATTACATTATTTATATATTATTGGGTTCATTATGAATATTGTACTGGTGTTTAAATATAATTTATATGAAATCGTGCTAAAAGAAATGGTAATACTTACGGACGTAAGATTTCTTACTATACACTACTAGTAATTCAGACTCTTCAATGTTACTTATTTATGGTTTACAGTCTGCATTTACACTTTAAAATATTTAAATTAAGTACAGTAGTAAAACAGAATTTAAAAATATTTTGGCTTTAACACTGAATGAATTATAAAGTACAGTGGAACCTTGACTTACGAGTGTCCAAACTTACGAGTTTTTTGAGATATGAGCCATCCCTGGGTCAACTTTTTGCACTGAGTTACAAGCCAGCTTCCCCCTCCCTCTTCCCCCTCAACCCAAAACCTGGACACCTCGCTTGTTTATCTATGATTTCATGCTTTAATTCCAGGGAAATCTTTCTCTTTTTCTTCTCAGCAATAATACAAATATAATAATAATAAAATATTATTATTACAGTCAAGTCATTCAGTAAATCAGTCAGTCATTCAGCAAGTCATTCAGTCAGTCAGTCATTCAGTAAGTCAGTCATTCAGTATGTCAGTCATTCAGTAAGTCAGTCATGTAGTCACACAAACTCATGTTTACCTTTTTTTCTATGTACAAAGTAACACTTCAGTTACGGCTACAGGTTACCTCTTGTCTAATATATTTGTTAATTCTAAGACTTAAGTGCTTATACCTCTTTGTGCCACTTTCAGCAACACTGGTATGGATACTGTGTCTCATGACTTAAGAAATTGTAATGACACGATTGCAAACAAACCATACCCCCGGCCGGGATTGAACCCGCGGTCATAGAGTCTCAAAACTCCAGCCCGTCACGTTAGCCACTAGACCAGCTAGCCACAATAAGATTCATCCAACTAGGTATATTTCTTGTGTAGAAATATACCTAGTTGGATGAATCTTATTGTGGCTAGCTGGTCTAGTGGCTAATGCGACGGGCTGGAGTTTTGAGACTATGACCGCGGGTTCAATCCCGGCCGGGGGTATGGACTGTGTCTCATGATTGCTTGGCAGATACAAGATATAGTAATTAAAACATCATAACACAATTGACAAACACAGCTGCCTTGTAGCAGAAAAAGACTGGACACGTATGAATTACGAATGCTGGGATGGTGGGGTGGTGTCGGGGAGTGGTAGGGGATGGCTCCCGGGCTGCTCCATAACAAGGCGGCCGCTTGAGCAAAAGAGAATTTTTTTTCCTTCCCACAAACTGAACCATGTTAAATTAATTATACGATGTGTTACATAAAATTGTGCAGCAATTCTTCAATGGTGGTCTTCTGTATTATAATAATAATGATAGAGCTTCTTTTATTTTTTTTTTAATTTATTAAATTATCACACCGCGATTCCACAAGCAGGTGCCGAAAAGAAAAACTTACATCATTTACTCATCACTGTCTTGCCAAAGGTTTTACACTACATTTTTAAACTAACTTACACCTTTCGAGTGCAGCACTGTATTCCATCTCCAGATCAGTCGCCTGATAATATAATAATAAAAAAATAATAATAATAATAATAATAATAATAATAATATTATAACTACATCATAAATATTAATATTTTTAATATATAACGATAGACTTCAGTTCCATTATACAAACAATAATAATAATAATATAATAATAATAATAATAAATAGAGTTCGTCCCTAATTACATAATAATAATAATATCAGCATTGTTCCTAGTTGTACAATGTAAGCAGTAAACATGTATTATTCAATCTCTGTAGTTGGACAGGGTACTCATGTGTTATTTTGCATCTTGTTTGCTTTTTTTTTTTTTTTACAGTCATTTGGCCAAATTTCTTTTTTCTAACCATGGGTCCTAGTGATCTACTGCAGTTAACCTTAAAAATACTCCATTTTCTCTTACAGTAAGAACATGGGAAGATACTATAGTCAAACTGGGACAGAAATGGCAGACACTTCTGCTGCTGCCTCTGCCACCATATCATGGCCTATTTTATTCATTCTAGAATATATATCATGTTTCTGTGCTAATTATATTGTTTATTATGTCATATTAGATGAATTGTGATAGATAAATAAGCCGTACAGTTGAAAATAGAGTCATATTCAAGTATTTTTTCTTGTCTCTCCAGAGTGCAGGAACAAATTAATGGCTTTTCAATTAATTTAAATGAGGAAAATTAATTTGATATATGAGTAAATTGAGTTATGAGCTAGCTCCTGGAACGGATTAAACTCTTAAGTCAAGGTTCCACTGTACTTATCTGAATATTGCTGTGAAAAATTTAGCAATTACGTATTTGCAATATAAATTTTCTGGAGAAGTTATTTTAAATGTATCAATTAATAACAATCTATAATTAAGTAATAAAGACAGTTCTGATTTACTTGTTGCAATACAGTAGTATTTGTATTACAGTATAACTCCAAAATTACAAAAACTTGAAAACTACAAAAAACCAATATTGTCTTCAAATAATTCTACTTACTGTAGCTGAAATTTTGATAGCAACCAAAATTAAAATAACTCTGTTTTTGTGCCTTAAACTGTATATCCTCAGAATGACTTCTGGAGAGAATAATATAATGTTGGGTAGAAAAAGGATGGGTCATTCCTTAATATTATGCAGGAATTGGAGACAGTACAGCACATACAAAGTGGAGTGTGTTATACAAGACTTATGGAAGAATGTAAGTGTATAGTATTTTGTGCATTAACTCTGCATAATAGTGTGACCCAGAAAATTTTTTTTTTAGGTTCTATGCAGACACTTACCAGATCAGAGTGAAACACAATGAAAAAACATTTTAAAGCCTAATTTGTTATTTAACATTATGCTCATTTTCTGGCATATGAAGGTCCAAAATATGCAGACTTCTGAAGAGGCTCGGGGCCAGACCATTTTGTATTTTTGGAGTTATACTGTATACAGAAAAAAAAAGATACATTATCAGTATTCTCAGGGACTCGTGCCAGCACCAAGCGTGACAGATGCAGCAGATCTGAGGCTAAAACCAGACTCAGTTGCCTATCTGTATTTAACATCATTTTTAAAAAGAAATTGAACCATCAGTGGATCTGCTATTAGGCTCCATATCGCTGCTCTCATCACATATACATTTGAATATTTTTAACAAGAGCGAGTATAATGTATGTGTAAAACTAGTAAAAAAGTAGTATTTGATGAGAGTAATGGGCAAGAGGTTTACAAGTTTGACAATATTTAAATTGAGAGCCAAACACACAACATGCTGCTCTTACCCAAACTTATGTTACTTAAGATATAACTTCTCAATTCTGAGTGAGCCATAGGAATGATTTAAAAGTAAGCCACAATGGAAAATTGAGGATATACTGTACATCAGAGCCTATAAATATAAATTAAAGCTGGAGCTCTTAGATAACATGTGTACTGGAGTACATACTCTGTATACTCAAATGACAGAATTGTCATCTATAATTCATTAAATGTGTACTTTTTCTATGTTAACTAGGAAATTCAGAATTCCTTGGTTAGTAACAAGGTTGTCAAGAGGTAATGACAAATTGTTGAAAAAGGATGAGAGTACAAGTAAAAAATAAAACAATTTTATAATGCCCTGAGCAAGAAGTGTTGTAGTCCATTCTTGCACCATCATGAGGATGATTCCTCCACAGGGATGGTTGTGACAATCTCTGGCGGCAAGAGCTCTGAACTATCGGTGGCATGTAGTTCAATGCTTTCTGACACCATTACTGGTGGCTCAAGGACGGGCAGTAGTGTGTATGACGACGAAGACGATGAAAGCGGTGGGTGAGGGAGGCGAGTATAATGCATGTGACGTGGATAATGATAATGAAGGTGATGAAGATGGTGATAATGCTGATAACTACTATGATGATTCAGGTTCCCTGAATGGCTTAAAATGCCTGGTGGGGGGACCTGCAAAGAAGCACCGTCCTGGGCAACAGATGCCGAGATGGTTGGGATGATGAATGTGGAGAGCTCATTCTCCTCCAAAATTGTGGCTGGCTCTAGTGAGTCATACTCAGTAGCAATTGTACTGTTGTCATCATCTGAAATCAATATCAAGTAATTACTATTTTGTATTACACTAATCACTATAAAGAGCTAATACTACACAAAAATCATTACATACCCTAGAGAATAAGCAATTTAAATTAGACATACATAGCTCAGGGGAGCAAGGGGCTAGTAACCCCTTCTCCTGTATAAATTGCAAAATTTAAAAAGAAACGCTCAATTTTTCTTTGGGTCACCCTGCTTTGGTAGGATGCAGCCAGTTTGTTGGAAAATAAAAAAAAAATAAAAAAATTATTAAAATATAAAAAAATGTATTCAAATTTTGTTTTCTAATGTTAAATATAGCATCTTATTGTCCTAAAATTTATGATCAACAATTAAGATTTTTTCATGAATTCAGTTTAATAACTATTTATTTATTTTTTTATTTGGACATGATACATAGTTGTACAAAGAAATATAGTGATTGGGTGTACAAGCCAAAAGCCCCTTGTATGCAGAGCATTATGGGCAGGCTTAAAATTAACTTAAGAATAACTAAGCAATGATATATTCAGTGGTAAAAATTATAGCAAACAAATTACAACATGAAGTACAAATGAGTATTTCAAATAAGAAGCATTAAAGCTGTACAAATTTGTAACATAACAATGTATAATATAATCGAATCAGATCGAGTAAAATCAATAATTTGTAGTGCAGAAACAGGTCATATGGTCATTAGATGAGTTACTGTTCATTCAAGAGGATGGAGTATTCTATTAGGTAATGTAATTAAAAAAAAAAAGTTATGAGATTCAGTTATTCAGTATTTATTTAGTTGTGGTTGAGTAAGTGGTTTTTAAGAAGTCTTGAATTTATAAAAAGTGTTTCTTTTATGGTCACAGGTAATGAATTCGATTTTTGGGCCTTTTATGTGAATTGAGTTTTTACATAGTGTGAGACAGACACGGGGGACATCAAAGAGTGATCTGTGCCTTGTGTTATGGTCATGTGTTCTGCTGAAGTTCGTAAGGAAAAGTTTGAGGGGAGGGTTTATATCAGAGTTTAGTGTTCTATGTATGTAGTAGGCACAATAAGAAGTATGGATGTTTTGTATGGTGAGTAAGTTTAGAGTTTTTAATATTGGTGGAGTATGCTGCCTGGAGTGGGAATTTATCATTATTCTGACTGCAACCTTTTGTTGGGTAATTAATGGTCTCAGATAATTTATTGTTGTTGAGCCCCTTGCACAAATTCCATAGGTGAGATAGGGGTAAATAAGTGAGTGATATAGGACCAGGAGGGCTGACTGTGGAACATGGTACTGTTTCTTCGATAGTATGCCTACAGTCTTGGAGATTTTCTTGGAAATTTGTTGTACATGTGTTTGAAATTTGAGTATTATCAAGGTAGATTCCTAAGAATTTTCCTCTGTGAGCTTTGTGATAGGCAATCCGTTATCATTATGTTAAGAGGAACATCTGTAGTTCTGTTCCCAAACTGAATGTAGTAGGTTTTGTCAATATTGAGAGTAAGTTTGTTAATCATTATCCAGGTAGATATTTTCTGTAATTCAGTATTTACAGTATTGGCTAGTATGACCGGGCTTGGGTGAGAAAAGACGTATGTAGTGTCATCTGCAAATAGTGTAGGTTTGAGTAGCTGCGATGCATCTGGTAGGTCATTTATGTAAATGAGAAAGAGAAGAGGGCCAAGGACACTTCCCTGTGGGACACCAACTGTAACTGGCTGTGTAGAAGAGTTTGCTCCATTTTGTGTACACATATTGGCTTCTGTTGCTGAGGTAAGACTTTAGGTAGTTGAGGGAGTGCCCTCTTATGCCATAGGGTGATAATTTTATGTGCAGCAAATCGTGGTCAACTGTATCAAAAGCTTTACGTAAATCAATGAAGATCCCCAATAGGACTCCTTTTTTCTCAAGTGCAGTGTATATTTGTGCGAGCATGTGTATGATAGCATCATTCATATTTTTATTAGGCCTGAACCCAAAATGACAGGGGTTGAGTATGTTGTGGGAGATGAGGTAGGAATAAATTTGCTTATGAATTAGTTTTTCAAAGATTTTAGAGAGAGGGTTAAGTTGGATATTGGCCTATAGTTATTCAAGTCTGCTTGATCTCTTCCTTTATGTATCGGGGTGACCCTCACTATTTTGAGAACTGTAGGGAAGGTAGAGGATTCGATGGATTTGTTAGTGTTGCAGTGATTGGTGACAGTACTTGTGAAGCTTTTTTGTATATAAAGGGTGGTAAAGTATTTAAATTAGTCTTGTGTTGATAATAAGGGAGACTTCTGCTGGGTTAGTTGGAGCTAGGAACAGTGTGTTCAGGTATGTGCCAGTGAGGTAGTCATTAGATGGGGTATTTGAGCTTGGGATTTTACCCACAAGGTTTTTTCCTATGGTGGAGAAGAAAACATTGAGTCTATTTGCTGTTTCAGTAGGTGGGAGTAGGGGTTCATCTGGTTTTGTTAGTGTGATTGTTCTGTTTCCTGATATCTTTTTTGTTCCTAGAATTTCAGATAGGGTTTTCCAGATTTTTTTATATCACCTTTAAAGTTGGATAATCTGTTCTCATAATAAATAAATAAATAAATAAATAAATATAAATAAATAAATATAAACCTTAAGAACTTATTTAAATTCAGTAAATATTACAGTGGCCCGTACTGACGAATTTTTTCACCATAAGATATTGTATAGTGCCATATCGACCGCAAATTATTCCCCATAAGAATAATTGTGATGTAGATTTAGCTCCATGTATTAACCCAAAATATATACTATACAAACATTATAATAAATATACATTATATAATATGTCATTTTATAAGTATTTTAAGTGGTCATATATATATATATATATATATATATATATATATATATATATATATATATATATATTATATATATATATATATATATACACATGTATATATATATATCGTGCCGAATAGGCAGAACTTGCGATCTTGGCTTAAATAGCAACGCTCATCTTGCCATATAGGACAAGTGAAAATTTGTGTATGCAATAATTTCGCCAAAATCATTCTGAACCTAACGAAAAAAATACATTTCACTGTGTTTGCTTAGTATTAAATTACTGTAAACAAATCTAAAATATATTTAGTTGGGTTAGGCTAAAATAAATTGCTCTTTTTATAATAAGGTTAGGTAAGTTTTCTAAGATTCTTTTGGTGCAAAATTAAAAATTTTTACATTAACATTAATGAAAAAAATATATCCTTAAACGTATAAGAGAAAATTTCAGAAAGGACTTGATTTTAAATGAGTTCTTGCTAATTGACCAGTTTTACATATTTGGCACAACATATATATACATATATATATATATATAATAGCTCACACATTAAGCCCAGCATTGTAGGCACCATGGCCCCAACATCCTGAGTACTGAGATCAAGAAACCCTAGGCACAGAGGGACCAGGCATCCTACTTACTTAATCCTGGTATTCTAGGCACCAAGGCCTTGGCATCCTAGTACATGTAGTTTTTATAAGAATTCATCAAATATGTTGGTTTCATAAGAGCACTGAAATCACACTTTCACTTTTTTTTTTTTTTTTTTTTATACACAGGGTTTGACAAGGTTAAGGATCCCTTGCTTTATTGATAAGCTATTTACAGGTTAAGGATTCATAACTTTAGTGACAAGCTAAGAGCTGCTACCTACATCAGCTCATTTGAAAGCATTTTTATTGTTATGAGACATACAAGTAGGGAACAGAATGAAGCTGGAGCCATCTGTGGGCCAGCATTTTCATTTGATCAACTATCTCGTTGACATCATAATGATGTACGAATGTGTTCTATACTTGAGTCATCCTGGGGATAAATGATCTCAGTTGACGTGATGTTCTGGAGAAGGGTACAGCCAGAGTGAAGTTGCTGCTTTCTGCCCATCTTGTGGTATAGAAGCTTGCTTCACACTGTCCTCGAAGTGGATCCAAGTGTGGTACTTTGACAATATTGGCCTTGTACACAACAGTAAGGCCACCCACATCCCTCTTGTGTTGAAGGCTCTGCTGAAATGACAGATCTATCCAGGATTGGTCCAGGCAAAGATGAGATGTCTTGCTCTGTTCTCTACTCTGTCAAGCAGTAGCAGATGAGAAGGGGGTGGCAGGCAAACCAAGAATGTGGAGCACACTCAAGGTGTGAGCTTCCATCCCCTACTGTCAAGCAGATGCGAGATACAGCAAAGTGCTCTAAGCTTCCTGGCTGCCTTGTTTGCAAGATTTACAACATTGTTCTTCATGGTCAGTTTGGAGTCAAATTTCACCCCAAGGATATCAACTTCTTCCCCAGGTGCCAACACCTTCCCATTCATCCTTACTACCGCACTGGCATTACCATCATGGTGCCTAGAGACCATCATTTGTGTTTTCTCAGGTGCAAATGTTACTTGCCATCTATTTCCCTAAGCTGATATAGCTCTTAGCTGGCGATTGATGTAGCTTAGAGCAACTGGCATTTCATCTTTTGGATAAGTGAATGTCAGTGTACAGTCGTCTGCATATACATGGGATTCTGGGATGAGATGAAGGTCATTGAAGACGACATTCCATAACAATGGTCCCAGCACGCTTCCTTGTGGAACACTTGCCCCAATAGGATGTCTTGCTGATTCTGTTCCACTGAGAACTACCCTTAGAGATCTACCACGAAGGTAATCACTGTAGAGCCTGCAATTCCCAGAGCTTGCAGTTTTGATAAGAGGCTCTGGTGCCACACTCGGTCGAAATCACCAGCAATGTCCAGTGCTACCACAGCTGACTTTGGATTCATCCAGTGACAGGTGCCACTTAGTGGAGAGGTTTAACAACAGGTCAGCAGCAGAGTAACCTTTCCTGAAGACATACTGATGGTCACAAAGTAGTGAGTGTTAGTCAAAAAACTCTGTCATTTGTCTTAAGATTATTGTCTCAAGGATCTTGCCAGTGATTGACAGCAGTGACAGTGGTCTGTAGTTGCTAATTTCTGCTCTGCTCTTCTTTTTGTGAACAGGA